AGGATTGTGAGATATCTTTTAGTGAAGTGCTTGGATTGCAAGCTCCTAGGTTGCAGTCCTATGTATAATTACCCGGGAGTGAGCCCCATTAAACACAATGGGACTGACTTGCTTCTGAATAGCCTTTACACTATATGAGAGCAGGGAATATCTCCTTTAAAGATAATGGATGGTGTTGAACCAATACAGCCCTGATCTGTACCAAGGACTTCAAACAGCACTGTAGTATAGTGACTGAGGATGTCAGCGGTGAAGGGGTCCAGTTCAAAACCTGCTTCAGGCCACAAATTCCTTAGGTGGATTTAGCCAAGCCACTATGTTTTAATTTCAGTTCCTTGCTGCATCTGCAATAGAGGATAACAAGTGGAACCTAGTGAAAAAATATTCATGGATGAAGGGTTGGAATTGACCTGGTGGAAGCACATCCTCTGCAAATAACCAGCCATCCTTTACATTGCAGTCCTCCCTCAGAACGTGAAAGGGCCCTTGAGAAGGAATTGGGCTCAGAAGATGCAGTTCACTCCACAGTTTGAAATTAGGAAGATGTGTTATTCTGTGGCAGCCCATCGCTCCCTCAAGCTCAATATGGTCTTCCCCAAGGGTAAGGGACCCTTTTCCAGACCAAGGACCACATTCTCTACAAGGTAACCTAGCAGCAGCTGGAGGCAAAAGCAAATGGGGCAAGAAGCAAACGTGGACAAGAGTAGCAGATTTGCCACTTAGGTTTGTACTGTCGGCTTCTTTCCAGAAATTTCTACACACACAGCCTCTCTATCTAAGACATCTTATCAGCTCAAGGACAGATTCCAGCCAGGCTGAAGCACTGGAGGAGGGTGTGGAGCAGGACCAGTGAGGATGTGACTGGATGAAGGGGCGTGACCTAGAGGGAGTCCTTGGGGCCGGGCAGAGATGGACCCTTGTGTGGATAGCCTTATGTGAAGATACAAGGAATGGAACCTGGAATTGTTTACATGTGAATCATGTGATGTACTACTGAGCCCACTCCCCTGCCCTACACAGGTTTAGAGCCTAAGCTCCACTCCTAGCCTGCTGAGAGCCTGAAAAACACTCTGTTGCCAGCGTTTGGAAGGAGCATGTGGGGACATCTGCTTTACCAGTATGGGAGGTAATGCTTGTCTGTGTCAAGAATTTCTGAGCTAATACATATGGAGCTAATCTCAATTGGTACTGACATATTGTTATTTTTATTATAGTAGACATGGCAAGTATGAGGTCTGCAGGGTGGCAACATGAGAACGGGCCTTCTCTGCAGTGGCTGTGGAATGCTCTCCCCAGGGAAGTTCACCTGGCACCTTCATTATATAACATTCATCGCCAGGCAAAAACGTTCCTTTTTAACCAGGCCTTAGGTTGATTTCATTGACATCCTATGCCCTTTTAAAATGTGGGTTTTTTGGGGGTGGGGTTATTGGGTTGTTTTTATTTTGATTATGTATTTTGTGGTTTTATATTTTGATTTTATTCTGTGAACCCCCTGAGACCTCTGAATATAGGGCAATATATAAATTCAGTCAATCAATCAATTTGACTGACATACTAAGGTTAAGTTGGCAGTTAACCAGATTCACTGCACAGTAGTCATGCATAACTGGTACACTTCAAATTAGTTCTGTTCCTGCGATAGCTTCAGGAGGAAAAATGAACAGAGAATGATTTCTAGAGGGTATTCTCACAATAAACAGGGGGAAACAGGTGTGTGCCCTTAAAAAATAAACAAACCCAAACTCCCAAACACAACTTTCATTAAAAGCTAGTGTGGGATGTATTATTACTAGAGCCGTCAAGTACAACATTTTCCTGTTGGCAAGAATGGACACACAGGGGAATGTGGCTCCAGACAGGGAGGACTTCCTGTCAAACCTGCTCTGGAGCTTCTTCCCCCTGTGTGTGACCAGGTAGATGGGCATGACCCTAGCTGTGCAGATAAAAGGGCTGGCCATGCAACCATCCCTCTCTTGGACTCTTACTCTCTTACTCTTGGACTCTCCTGATTCTTAGCTAGTGCATGGCTCAGCCTTCAGAAAGGATGGAGCTCAGAAGCAGAAAGTCTGAGATATGTAGCTCAGACTTCTTTTCACTGTAACCACAAGATAAAGCCTGCCTTCAGATTACTGCTGTGAATGGAATGTGAGTAAAATTTTATTCTTACTTTTAAAGAAGACTGTGTTGTGTTGTTATTATTTTAAGAGGGAAATAAAGGAGACGCGGGTGGTGCTGTGGTCTAAACCACAGAGCCTTGGGCTTGCCAATCAGAAGGTCGGCGGTTCGAATCCCCACAACGGGGTGAGCTCCCGTTGCTCGGTCCCTGTTCCTGCCAACCTAGCAGTTCGAAAGCACGTCAAAGTGCAAG